AAAAATTTTTTTTTCATAAGACAAAAATTTCACCTTATCTCAAATTTGAATTTCTCAAGTTCTAGAAATCGCATCATAGCAAATAAGTGCTCGCTGGAAAGCTCATTTCAATGAGAAGAGGTGAGGCGTGTATGACTCAAAAAATTTGTAAGCAATCTTAGGCTAAATACAACCTAATCTTCATTTTCCTGCCAAAAAGTGACATCTCTAGGGCTAAAAACTAAAATTGTGGAAAAAAGCCTAGAAAATTTTTCTACTTAAAAAACAACATCACCATCGTGTTCAAAATAGGGCCTAGAGGTCATTTTTATTTAGTTACTTAATTGTCAATTCTTTCGGAGCTGAATCACCTCGATCAAAGTCGGGGTGTCAGAGTAACTACACTTTAGTGCAGATTTTTCATTTTGGCTTGGAAAGTTAGCCCTAAATTTTTTTTTATAGTCAAGTCGGTTAATTTAGTTCGAGAAACCACCAGAACCGTTGAGTTTTCATAAATTGGATCATTTTCAATGATAAACAGACATAAAAAATTTCTTAAATACTTATCTTAAACCAACAATTGATACATATTCGGAAACTACATGAGCAGGGCTTTCCAAAAACATTTAAAAAATTCAACCCAAATATCGACCAAAAACTGACATTTGCCTGGCCCCAAATTTTTATAAACCAATTTTTCCCGTTTTTTTCAATAGGAATTATGTAAATTGTGTCTTATTGCCAAAAATTGAAGTCCCAAGTGTCTCAGACACCGGGAACCCTTTTGAGCCGATGCAAAAAAGCAGGGCCGGCGCTAACCAAAAAGTGGAACGGCTAGGCTTTTGAATCCTTACATTCCAAATTGTTGCATGCAGTTAGTGTATTACATTCCAAATTACTAAATGGAATTTAAAGCTCCCTAGTTTTTGCTGCTTTCCTGCTTGCGTTTGCGAATTTGCTGCTCCGTGTGTGTATCGGTTCAGTTTTGCTGCATTGCATTATATCTGGTTTTAATTTTGTTGCATTCGCCTTGTATCTGGTTTTTTGATGGCTAATGTTTTCCCTAGAGAGAAGCTAGTGTTTTTGTAGGAATCTTCTTTTTTTCTAAGCTAACTCGCCAATAAAAGTGCTCATCGAAAGTGTTGACTTATACGGAAATTTAACTATTATAGGAAATTGCATAGCATCTGTTCTCTTTTTTTGTGTGGCTAGTGTTTTTTTCAATTAAGCGTCCGTGGCTGAGTGTTTTTTTTTGCGTGAGACTCATATTTTGAAGGACGTAAGTTCGAGTCCGAGCTGTAGCCGAATTTTAACTATTTCGAGACTCATTTCTACTCATTGCAATTTATAGAACTGCTTCTTTTCATGTTTTCTGTAGTGTTTGCGCCTCTGTGTTGATGCTTATCAAGCGCCCATGGCGCAGATGCCAGGACGTTGGACTCTCAATCTCGACGTCGGGGTCTTGATTCCGGCACAGTAGTTTTTATTAGCCTAATCCTTCTTTCTAAATGTCAACCTTACACGGCTGCTACTTGTTGCTGTTTCTCGCTGATGTTTGCGAAGTGCAGTTTCGCCTCTATGATAATTGTACCAGCAAATTTTTTTTCCCAACTGCATACTTGCAGAAATATGTGCTGATTTTTTGCGCTTCATTTCATCGGTGAGCAATTGAGTGATAAGCCTGGTAGCTGTAAGACAGTTGGCTCAGTCAGGAAAATGCATGCCTAATTGTCGGGTGTTCGTGGATTGAATAGTGCAGTCGGGTAATTTTTTTTCAAACCTTGCTTACTTTTTTTGCGTTTTCTTGCAATTGTAAAGATCTTATGCCCTTTCTTGCTGTGTTTGCAAATGTTCAGATCCGCCTCTGTGAAGAATTTTCGAGACAGCGTCATGATGTCGTCAAAAATTTGTTTTGATATTTTGTATTTTGTTCCGAACACTGAAACTGGGGAGAAATTTTGTCGTGGGGTGTTTTTTTGTATGCTTTTTTTGGCTATACCTAGCAAAATCAAGTACCACAAAAATCATTGGAAAGCGCTTAGTGATTTATGATATTCAAGCCCTTTAAAGGGTGATTCGAATTACATTAGAAAAATTTCAGAATTTTCTCTTATTGTCCAGGACAACTGGTTTGAAGTTTTTTTGTTTGTTGTTATTCAAGTTGAGCCGTGAAAATTTAGTTTAACTAGTAAAAAAGAGCTTTTGAAGTTTTTTGGCATTTTCTTAGAAAATGTTTTTGATGTTTTCTTCTAATGTACGATTCGTTTTTTGAAGAAATCCTGGCTTTTATCAGCCCAGCCCACGTTTGAATTTTTCTTCGAAAAAAACTACGTTGACATTATTGTCATAATGAAGGGAGTCACTTCTGGACTCCTTCACAAATCCTCGTTGCAAATCCTCTTTTCTTCGTCCTGTTAGCAAATCCTACTCCTCTCGGCTTCAAATAATAATCATGGTTGATTTTATTATTTTAAATATCCGTCCTTTTCAAAATTTGTATGTTATGTTGGTTGTGATTTTTCCAACTCGATTTGTTAAAATTATATTTTTTTGTCCTTTTTTCGGCCTTATAGGCTCGAGCCTATTTTATCAGGTTTAGTGGCCCAATTTCGAGTGGTTTCAAGAGAAACAAGGTTTTTATGTTCACCTCCGGATTGCACAAAATGCTGAAAACTTTAATTTAGTTATAGTTCAAGTTTTTCATGACATTTTTTTTGGCTTTTTTGTTTTTTCTTTTTTTTTGCTTGATTAGTTTCGGCCTATATTATATCGGTTTAATGTCCGCATGTTGCGCCTATCGATGGGCGAAAAAAGTTTGTGTGAGCGTATTTGTGTTTTGAGGATGAGGGGGACTTAATAACTTCTCATTAGTTTTGATTAGTTTTTTCATTTTTTGGCTTGATGGGTTTTGGCCTATATTGCATCGCCTTAGTCGCCAACTTTTGCGTTGTTGCACGAACTGTGTATGTGTTTTGAGGGGTGAGGGCGACTTAATGACTTTTTAGTAGTCTTATATTTTTATTAGTCTTTTTCGGCTTTGTTTTTACTTTCCTTTTTTTCGGCTCAATAGGTTTCGGCCAATATTATATCATCATAGTGCCGCATATTGTTTCATCTGACGCGTGATTAAAGTTTTTATATAAAGTTTGAAACTTGTCACCATCGTACATCATTTTATGAATTTTTTTAAATGCATTTTACGCGTTTTTCCATCAACTTCAATATCAACGAGACTTTTCGAGACTTTACTCTGACACCTTCGAGTTTTTTTTCTGTATATATGAGTTTCGTGATAGCAATTAAAAAGCTACCATTCAATTGAAGCTTGAACTATAAGTATTCAATAAGAAACTATCAAAATCTTTGATATTGAGTTTTCGGAAAATTCTTCCATGATATCATCGGAGCATCGCGAAGCTTGCAATGAACAATATTTCCAAGTTTCCATCTGAACTTTTATTAGATGCAAACGTCACAAACCATTGATCAATGGCAGTTTCAGCTTCCGCGTGGTTTGCATAAGCACTCTTTCGTTTTTCTTAATGTTTGCGATAGAAAACACGAAAGCCGCTGAGTCGAAAAAAATAAGCCCCCTCACCTTCATAATAGATAATTTGAATCAATTGAGCAATATCTTCCCCATTCTCGCGTCGTGGGGGAGATAGCTCAATAGGTACTTCAGACATGTTTATTACCACTTGAAAGTGGCTTGACTATTATGAAATCATAAACCAGATTCTTCAACGAATACAGAACGCCAAAATTTACAATATCCAGTCTTAAAAATTAAAACAGTTTAAAAAAAGAATCAATAAAACTGGCACATTAAGCGACTTTTTTCTGACAATGGAAAAAAGCTATTGCGTACATTATTAAGGTGTTGCGGAGAAGTTTTTTTTGTATTTAAATACAAGGATAGAGCACCATCCTGGTAATTTGATTTCCTCGATGAGGCAACGGCCGCCCAAACAAAAATTTGCAAAATAATTATTTTCATATAATTTACGATTTTTTTTTCAAATTTTTTCTCAATACTCAAATAAACAAACTTCAGTCGGACAATTTACAGGGTGCTATGAACAAATCAACCGTTAAATTAAGTTTGTTGACATCTTTTGGTAGTTTATTACCATTTTTGCCTGGGGAGAGAGGGCTCAATTGATCTGAAAATTTATTCATTATATTTTTGATACTTTTCAGGGGTCACGTGAATCGAACGCAATTTATTGAATTTCCCATATTGTCAAATTTGGCGGGCATCATGAAGATCTGAACTTTCAGAATTTAGTGGCAGTGATATCCAAAATACGCTTCTGAAAAGCTAAAATGAGCCAAACATAATTGGTTGAATAAGACCTGTATTTACCCAAATCGGTTTAAGCAATTGGTTCATATCAGTTAAACAGTGCGGTTTTTTTAACCAATTGGTTAAATCAATTGTTAATCAATTGGTTTAAAAAATGCTGTGTTAAACTGATATGACCAATTGGTAAACCGATTTGGTTAAATGCAGTCTTATGTAGCAATTAATTTTGGACATATATTAGCTATTCAGGAGTGTATTCTGAATCTAAGTAAGACCGAGGAATCATTTTTTCCCATGCCACTCCAAACCATTACTCAGTCGTGCTCCATCGATCGATAATTAGCATATAATTAGCATATATTGTTTCTTGTACGGGATTTGTCTTTTTTTTTGCCACGATTTGGTTTCTGGCAAGGTACTTTCGGCTTTGTTACCGCTGGGCTCATTATCTTCCGATGCTTATTACACATTCTTTTGTCTTGTCATGTTTTTGTTTCAAAACTAGTCTTATTCGTTTTTAAATATAAATCTAGTTTTTTGTCCTTGTCGCAAGTGATGCGAAGCTCAGCTTCGCCTCTGTTTGGAGTCTTTTTCTTCTTTTTTCGAAAACTACCCATCAATTGTGACAATTGATTACTGATTCCCTCATCATCAGTATTTTTTCAATTGTTTTAGACTTTTGATTTGATTAAACAGTCTTTTGTATTGCAGATTTTGTATAATGTCTGGTGGACCAAATGCCGATTTCGATAAGTACGAAAAACACACCTGCCCATTTGATGCCAACCATCAATTGGACGCATACAAATGGAGAAATCACATAGACAAGTGTCGTCTCCAACATCCAAGTGAGAAATTGTAGTCAATGCGGCGATCTTTCAGAAAGTATAAGTTACAATGTGGAGCTGTAAATATGAGCTATAATTTGTAGGGGGGTATAATGGGGAAAGATTCTAAATTACATTCTTTTTTTGTTCGGAAAGTTAGCGGATAGATAAGTTAATATAGTTGGAACCAGAGGCAGATCTAGAATTTTTTCGTGGGGGAGGCGGGTGCGGATTTTCAACAAAAAAAAATCAAAAAAGTTGTCGACTTTTTTTTTAGGTCGACCAAATTGATTTTCCGAGCTATCCCAAAGCACTACAGAGACCCTGTTTTGGCCAAATCAGGCGTTTTTAGGCTTTTTAAAGAACATTTTGACCAAAAAATCCTGTTTTTTCGGCGCGCGCTCCCCCCTCAAAATTAGTATATATTGGCGCTGAAGGCGCCTTTAGAAAAATTTTATGATCCCTCACCAAAAATGGATATCCCAAAATATTACAAAGGCGGGACCCTTTGGGTCGGCAGGGGGTCGAATCCCTGAGGGGAGGAGGCGTCCGCCCCTCCCTAAATCCGCCCCTGGTTGGAACATAAACCAATTTTTTCGCTAACGGCACATAACAATTTTTCGTAAAAATAAGAGCTCTTGCCCCATAATACAAAATTTATAGTGTTGTGGAGCTATATTGGGCCCCCCACATTTGAAATGCAAAATTTTTTTTTTAAAATAAGGTTTTTTTAGGCTTTTTTCCTCTCCCTCTCTTCAAACTTTGTCTTTTTCTAATTTTTTAACCTGTTTTTTGCTATAGCTTAATGCGTAATGTTACAATGTAAGGAATGAAGAAAATCTATTCGCATTTGTTGATCCCCCCCCCCTGTAACAGTGTAACATAGTGCTACATGCATACGTTGGAGTTAAGAATCATTTTCAAAGTTTCAAATTAACTTAATATTTAAAAGTCATGCATAACGCATGATTTCATAAAGTGCCACATTCAAAAAATGTTAAGTTGTCGTTATCGTTATTCGATTAGTGACCCAATGTAAACAATAGATTGAGGCCGTTTAAAAGGATCAATCATAAAAGAAATTGCACGAAAGCAAAAGCTAATTAATTGGGTATTACCCGCTTTTATAGCAATGTCCAAACCGAATGATAGGTTGATTGCATCCGGAAAACACATCCCTTAGTTGAAGATTGTTATAAACTTGCAAGCTAACATCTAAAATAAAATGAGAATAATAAACGACAATTGCCAGCAATGCTCTCTTGTATGGTGACATATAGTGGGCGATGGTACCAAAGTGTCCACATCACCCAATACAAGACGACTTCCACTATCGCGCAGGTGTTGAGACAAACTTTCTAGTTTCTTGCTCAAACAGGAGAAAAGAGGGGCAAAACAAGGCTGACTGTAGCCACTGAATGAATACAGCAGAGTGAACGTGTGTTCAGGTTTTGCCTTCGTTTCTGGCTTTGGCGTGTTGATAAAAGCTAACAGATTTGCTACACTTCGCAGAAAACTGTTTTAGTGATCAGAAATATTTAGTTCAAGTGAAACTGTCGATGCTTAAGTTAAATTCATGAGTGCTCATTTTGAATTCAGGCGCATCACAACCATTTGTGAGAACTATCCAAAATTGTCCAGTCCTCAAACTGAACATCCAATACAAGGACAGACATTGAAACAAAGATCACTGTCTCGAGTTTCTTGCTCAAACCGGAAAAAAGAGACACAAACTGAAGACTGGTAAAGCCAATATCGCAGAGACATTGAAACAGATCACTGTCTCTTTGTTTCTTGCTCAAACAGGAAAAAAAGGACAAAACTGAAGACTGACTGTGACCATTCAAAGAATACAGCAGAATGAACGCATGTTCAGGTTTTACCTTCCTTTCTAGTTCCGGCGTGCTGATGACAGCTACCAGATTTGCAACGCTTCACAGCAAACTTTTTTAGTGATCAGAAATGTTTAGTTTAACTGAAATTTTTGGTGGTAAAGTTAAATTGATGAGTTTACATTTTGAATTCAGACACACCAAAACCATTTGTGAGATTTATCTAAAATTATCCAGTGCTTAAATTCAAATTCAACCCAAGACAAGACGAATTCCACTTTCGCACAGACGTTGAAGCAATGATCACTGTCTTTAGTTTCTTGCTCAAACAGGAAAAAAGAGGGACAAAATTATCCAGTGCTTAAGCTCAAACTCAACGTCCAATACAAACACATACGTTGAAACAAAGATCACCGTCTCTAGATTCTTGCTCAAACAGGAAAAAAGAGACACAAACTGAAGACTGGTTAAGCCACTATCGCACAGACGTTGAAACTGATCACTGTCTCTTTGTTTCTTTCTCAAACAGGAAAAAAGAAGGACAACTGACCATTGAAAGAATACAGCAGAATGAACGCTTGTTCAGAATTTGCCTTCATTTCTAGTTCCAGCGTGCTGATGACAGCTACAATATTTGGAACGCTTCACAGAAAACTTTTGTAGTGATCAGAAATGTTTAGTTTAACTGAAATTTTTGGTGGTAAAGTTAAATTGATGAGTTTACATTTTGAATTCAGACACACCAAAATCATTTGTGAGATTTATCTAAAATTATCCAGTGCTTAAATTCAAATTCAACCCAAGACAAGACGAATTCCAATTTCGCACAGACGTTGAAGCAATGATCACTGTCTCTAGTTTCTTGCTCAAACAGGAAAAAAAAGAGGGACAAACTGATGACTGGTCAAGCCAATATCGCAGAGACGTTGAAACAGATCGCTGTCTCCTTGTTTCTTGCTCAAACAGGAAAAAAGAAGGACAAAACTGAAGACTGACTGTGACCATTGAAAGAATACAGCAGACTGAACGCATGATCAGGTTTTGCCTTCGTTTCTAGTTCCGGCGTGCTGATGACAGCTACCAGATTTGCTACGCTTCACAGAAAACTTTTTTTTAGTGATCAGAAATGTTAAGTTCAACTGAAATTTTTGGTGCTTAAGTTAAATTCATGAGTGCTCAATTTGAATTGAGGAGCATCACAACCATTTGTGAGAACTATCTAAAATTATCCAGTCCTCAAACTGAACATCCAATACAAGGACAGACGTTGAAACAAAGATCACTGTCTCGAGTTTCTTGCTCAAAAAGGAAAAAAGAGGGACAAACTGAAGAATGGTCAAGCCAATTCAAGTTAAACTCTCGGTGCTTGAGTTAAATTCATGAGTACTCATTTTGAATTCAGGCGCATCACAACCATTTGTGAGAACTATCTAAAATTATCCAGTCCTCAAACTGAACATACAATACAAGGACAGACGTTGAAACAAAGATCACTGTCTCGAGTTTCTCGCTCAAACAGGAAAAATGAGGGAAAAACTGACGACTGGTCAAGCCAATTCAAGTGAAACTCTCGGTGCTCAAGTTAAATTCATGAGTGCTCATTTTGAATTCAGGCGCATCACAACCATTTGTGAGAACTATCTAAAATTATCCAGTTCTCAAACTGAACATCCAATACAAGGACAGACGTTGAAACAGATCACTGTCTCTTTGTTTCTTGCTCAAACAGGAAGAAAGAGGGTCAAACTGAAGACTGGTTACGCCACTATCGCACAGACGTTGAAACAGATCACTGTCTCTTTGTTTCTTTCTAAAACAGGAAAAAATAAGGACAACACTGAAGACTGACTTTGACCATTGAAAGAATACAGCAGAATGAACGCATGTTCAGGTTTTGCCTTCGTTTCTAGTTCCGGTGTGCTGATGACAGCTACAAGATTTGCAACGCTTCACAGGAAACTTTTTTAGTGATCAGAAATATTTAGTTTAACTGAAATTTTTGGTGGTAAAGTTCAATTGATGAGTTTTCATTTTGAGTTCAGACACACCAAAACCATTTGTGAGAACTATCTATCTAAAATTATCCAGTGCTTAAATTCAAATTCAACACCCAAGACGACGAATTCCACTTTCGCACAGACGTTGAAGCAATGATCAATGTCTCTAGTTTCTTGCTCAAACAGGAAAAAAGGGGGCAAAACTAAAGACTGACTTAGGGCAGTGAAAGAATAGAACAGAGTTAACGCATGTTCAGATTTTGCCTTGCTGTCTGGTTTTGGCGTGTTGATGACAGCTACCAGATTTGCTACGCTTCACAGATATCTTTTTTAGTGATCAGAAATGTTAGTTCAACTGAAGTTTTTGGTGTTAAAGTTAAATTGATGAGTTCTCATTTTGAATTCAGGCGCATCACAACCATTTGTGAGAACTATCTAAAATTATCTAGATCTCAAACTGAACATCGAATACAAGGACAGACGTTGAAACAAAGATCACTGTCTCGAGTTTCTTGCTTAAACAGGAAAAAGGAGGGACAAACTGAAGACTGGTCAAGCCAATATCGCAGAGACGTTAAAACAGATCACTGTCTCTTTGTTTCTTGCTCAAACAGGAAAAAAGAAGGACAAAACTGAAGCCTGACTGTGACCATTGAAAGAATACAGCAGAATGAACGGATGATCAGAAATATTTAGTTCAAGTGAAAGTCTCGGTGCTTAAGTTAATTTCATGAGTACTCATTTTGAATTCAGGCGCATCACAACCATTTGTGAGAACTATCTAAATTTATCCAGTCCTCAACTGAACATCCACTACAAGGACAGACGTTGAACCAAAGATCACTGTCTCGAGTTTTTGTGATCAAACAGGAAAAAAAGAGGGACAAATTAAAGACTGGTCAAGCCAATATCGCAGAGACGTTGAAACAGATCACTGTCTCTTTGTTTCTTGCTCAAACAGGAGAAAAGAAGGACAAAACTGAAGACTGACTGGGACCATTGAAAGAATACAGCAGAATGAACGCATGATCAGAAATTTTCAGTTCAAGTGAAACTCTCGGTGCTTACGTTAAATTCATGAGTGCTCAATTTGAATTCAGGCGCATCACAACCATTTGTGAGAACTATCTAAAATTATCCAGTCCTTGAACTGAACATCCAATACAAGGACAGACGTTGAAACAAACATCAC